TCGGGTGAGGTCAGGGGTCGAAGTTAGGCGTTGAGCGTCAAAAGTGAGTCCGTTCCAACCGGAGGGTGGATGGTGTAGGCCTGTTGGGCAGGTTTTCTAGGGTGAGGATAAGAGTTAGGGTTGAGGTCCAGCCGGTGATTTAAGGTTGAGGATCATTGTGGGGTGAAATGTTAGGGTCGTTGCGGGTCCAGTTGGATGTAGGATTTAGGACAGGGGTGATGTTTAGTTAGGTCCAGGGGGATGCTTTAGGGGTTGAGGTCGGAGGTGAGGTTAGGGTTGAAGTCAAGGAGGGGTAAAAGGTTAAGGGTTGGTTCGACCAAAATCGCCGGGTGAAATCGCCTAGTTCTCCAGCCTCAAATTCCCCGGGCCGCGATTCCTTAGTTGCCCGATTTTCATCGAAGAGATCAAGTAAACGTGTTTGATATTATCGGCGGGCGATTGTGTCGCCCGATGGTTGTTCACCGGGCGGCGTTTAATCCGACTAGTGTGTCCGGGGCTCCGGCGATCAATTTCCATCAGCCATCAGAGTTTGCTTCCACATGATAAAACTGGGGTTGTTAACGGGGTTGGAGTGCTGCTTCTCGTTTTGGTCTAGTTCTCTGCGGATCGCCCCCCCACTTTTTTCTCCACACGTTTGCGCCGAGGGCCCCCGCCCGTTTCTGACGTAATAGGGAATGTTTCATGTTTTTAGTCATGTCATGTCAATGTAAGTAGCGATGCACGCACGGGCACGCAACGCAATGTGTACGTGCACACACATCGCACGTGTAACGTGCACCACGCGACGCAACGCACGCGTCTACGTGCACATGCATGCACGCAACGGCCACGCCACGTGTACTGCACACAAGTCCACGGCGCCCGTACGCAACGCACGCACCACAATGCCAAACCACGGTAACCAACACCCGCACTCACCGCGCAACACACCACGCACGCACGCATGCACGACGTGTACGCTGCACAAGCGCACGCCAGGCCCACGTACGCTGCACGCAGGTGAACCGTGCAACAAGGCGCACGCAGGCACGTACGCACGCCAACGCAATGGCACGCAGGTCAACGTGCAACGCACGGGCACGCACACAGGTACGCACGTGTCCGTTTTCACACGCACGCACCACGACAACGCACGCACGAATTGTACGCACTGGTAAGTGACACTCCGCACGCACGAACGCACGTGGTAGCGTACCACCGACCACGCACGCACGTGTACGTACAACACGCACCGCACGCACGGCACCGCACGCACGACACTGTTACCTTGCCAACCACGGCACGCACGCACGCACGTATCGTGCACCACGCACAGTCACGCACGCAACACACCACGTCATGCCCACGCACGTTTTAACATACAATCGTGACGCACGCAATGAATGCACGCAGGTGTACGTTGCACAACGCAGACGCACGCTCACGTCTACGTGCACATGCATGCAACGACCTTATCAACACGGCGATTAATCGTGCGATTTAATCGCCGGTAGTTGTTTCCACCACTCGACTCGCGGCGAATAAAGAATCGGGCCGATTTTCGTGTCGCCGATTTAATCGCCTAGTGGTGTCCGGCCCTTTGAGGACTGATGTTCAAAGGTGAAGTTTAGGGTTTGAGGTTCAGGGGTGATGTTAGGGTTTGGGGTCAGTGGGAGGTAGGGTTAGGATTCAGGGTGATGTTTAGGTTTGAGGGTCCAGGGGTGATGTTGGGGGTTTGAGGTTCAGGGGTGCATTCGGTTAGGTGTTGAGGTCCAGAAGGGGTGAATGTTTAGGGTTGAGTCAGGGGTGATGTTAGGGTTTATACGGTCAAGGGTGATTGTAGTTTGAGGTCAGGGGTTTCTGACCTCAACCCTAACATCACCCCTGACCTCAACCCTGACCTCAACCCTAACATCACCCCTGACCTCAACCCTAACATCACCCTTGACCGTATAACCCTAACATCACCCCTGACCTCAACCCTAACATCACCCCTGACCTCAACCCTAACATCACCCCTGACCTCAACCCTAACATCACCCCTGACCTCAACCCTAGCATCACCCCTGAACTCAACCCTAACCTCACCCCTGACCTCAACCCTAACATCACTCTTGACCTCAACCCTAACATCACCCCTGACCTCAACCCTAACATCACCACTGATCCTAACCCTACCTCCCACTGACCCTCAAAGATTAACTTAACCCTTACCTTCTGGCGCAACCCTAACCACTTAGTGACCTTCAACCTAGCCTAACCCTGACCCTGCCCCTAAGTCTAACGCTAGCATCACCCCTAATCCTCACCCTAACGGTAACTCTTGACCCTGACCCCTGGTTATAACCTCGCTCTTGGCTCTGACCCCTGACCCTAACATCGCTCTTGACCCTCGTCATTCACCCTAACATCGCCCTTGACCCAGTAACCCCAGCCTTGACCCAACCCATGACCCTCACCCTAACCTTAACCTTTACCCTCTCCCTAAACGCTAACGCTAACACTACATCGCAACGAGCAGCTGTGTGCGTACGCTGCCTCGCAGCCTCGTCGTAGTACCCCGATCCCTTTGTTTTCTTCGCGCGTGGGTATCGTGTGTTCGTGCGCGCACAGATATCCTATATGCACAATCGGTGTAGGTGTGCGTAGAATGTGTTTGCGTGTGCTTGCTGCGGCGCGGTTGTCGTCAGCGCCCGTATGGTGTGTCCATCGTGAGATCGCAAGACACGAGTCAGTTTATGTGTGTGTGGCGTGACAGTAGCGAGGGGAGGGAGGCTGCCTCGAATGTTTTTCTCTGCCGAAAAAATTGATCGGGTATATGTGTGTGTGCGCGCGCGTGCGTGCGTGCGTGCATGCGTATGTGTATCCGTGCGTGCATGCGTGCGCGCGCGCGTGATTGTATAGTAGACCGCCACCACATACTAGTATGCCAGCAGTACAGTTCTCGCAATCTGCTATTGCTTGTATCACATCGTACGCTACTAGTACCTTTATCTGAGCCTCCGTTGAGAGAGATAGAGATTCTGTAGTTTTCCACCGGTGACCGTGTTCTAGATCTCTGTACTCTATGCTTCTAGCTCGCGCTGCCAACCGTAGATTATACGTTTATGCGTTCTTCTAACAGAGTTCCGTCGCCCGCCGTCGGGCAGATTGAGCAATGACTAATGAGTAATGCGCCGAACTTAGGTGCGTTCCTGCGCGTAATGCTAACATAATTACACGCGATTCTGTGTTTAGATGGTGCGTGTGTGTGTGTGTGTGGTGTGTGTGTGTGTGTGTGTGTGTGTGTGCGTGCGTTGCGTGCGTGTGCTGCGCTGGCCGGACGTCGCGTGGCGACAGCGGTGTCGTGGCTGCGTTGCGTTGCGTGTGCTGCTGTGCTGTGTATGCGGTGTGGTGTTGCGTGTGCGTCGATTGTGTGCGTGAGATGCGCGCGCGGTGTGTTTGTGTGTGTGGTTATGTGTCAGTGCGTGTGGTTGTGCGTGTGCGTGCGTGCGTGTGCCTGTCCTGTAGCGGCGCGCGCCTGGTGCGGTATAGTTGTGTGTGTGTGTGTGGGTGACTTGTTTGTGGGCAGGGGGGGCGTGTGTGGGGCGGTGTTGTGTGTGTCCGTACCTGCGCGCATCTGTGTGCGTGTGCGCGTTTACATGCGTGTATGTATGTGTCTGTTCGTGTGTAATAGGACTCATCGTGCTCGGACGAGGCTTCTATAATGGAAATTGCCCAATTTCCTTATTCAATTCTTGGAGCAACTTCGTTAGTTTCCTGCGGTATATGGGCGCGTCTGCCAACTCTCGTAATCGAAATTCCGCTGATATTTTATTATAGCAGCTGCACAGCTGTGTTTACAAACATTGCAGGCTCACACACAATAAAAACCGCGATGCTAATCGCGATGAAATACCGAGATAACTGTGTCGTTGTTCACACAGGCGAATAATCGCGCTAATCGCCGAGCGGGATAATTCTATTAATCGAACTGCGCATGCTCACTGCCGGAATGATGCTCACTGCGCATGCTCACTGCTCACTCGCTTGGAATGATGGGATAGAAAATACCGGGATTATTTGCGCGATCGTTCACACACGCAAATAATCGCGCTAATTCCAAAGCGAGCGTTCACACACGCAAATAATCGCGCTAATTCCAAATAATCGCAGTCAAAAGTGCGATTTGGAGCGCGATGCTGATCGCGATTATTAGTGAGTATTATTGCGTTAGAACTTGTAATAATCTCGGTATTTCGATCGCGATGCAAAAACCGGGATTTGCATCCCGCTTATTCGCGCCAGTGTGAACGCGCCTAATGTGTATCGTTCCTACCTAATGTTTTGTCGCATCGAAGGTATTAGGGATGAAATTTAATATGACGAGGTCTACGTGCGTGTGTGTGTGTCCCTGTTTGCGTGTGCGTGCATGCGTTGGTGTGTGCGTGCGTGTGTCCGTTTGCAAGTGTGAGCGTGCGGTTATCGCTTGTTGGAGATTACGGTAATAGGGCAATAGCCTCTTCCTCAAACAACCTCCCACCTCCATCCTCACAGAAATCACGCAGTTTCCGTCAGAGATAATATAACTATTAACTACTGCAGATATCCCAGTTTCCCTTCTTCGTTCCGCCCTATGTTCCGTTTTCTCTCGCTCGCCTCTCTCTCTTTCTCTCTCTCTCTCTCTCTCTCTCTCTCTCTCTCTCTCTCTCTCTCTCTCTCTCTTCCCCTCCCTATCACCCTCCCCTTCTTTTCTAAGTCTATTGGTGAAATAATTAAGAACGTTATTTTAGGTTTTATGGCTCTAGAGCTCCTGCTCAGTGCCCTGCGCCCACCTGAAAAAGAGTCATTTTATTTCATGATCAAATAATTTTTTTTATGATTAACCCATAATATTTTTATTATTATTGTTATTGTTGCTATTATGATGATGATGATGATGATGATGATGATGATGATTATGATGATTATTATTATTATTATTTTATATTATTAGCAACAGTATCGACAACCGCTATTAACGTCGCTTTGTTTCTTGGCAGAAGCTCCTCAATGGAAATCGATCAGAGATCTAACGAAGCAGCACCAGAGGGCTCCGGCGGACGTCGCACGCCCGAGTCGTGCAGCAACTTTAGAATCGAACAGACGACGTTGAAAGTTAGCGAACGGTAAGCGGCATGAACGCGTGATCGACCTATAATATTCATTGGTAACCCCATAGCATAACGGCATTGAATAATATGCAAAGTGAATCTACATGCGGTAGCGGTAGTGCATCTGCATCGCGTAGAGATGGTCCATGCCTTCGCTTCACACACGTTCTGCGTTACCTTATAAATACCGCATGACATCTTGTAACGAGGTCGTTGAATATTCCTGCGGGTGCTGTGCGCGGATGATGAAGCTTGTGATATTGTGCAGGGCTTCTGTTGCAAGGGACTCAGCATCATCGTCATCATCATCGCGTTACCAGGTGATTTGCATGTGATTATTGGGGGTGGGGGGGAGTGTCGTAATAGGGCGGGCATCGTGGTTTATACTGATGAAGTGATCGCCACGTTCTAACGAGGCCTGGTCTGAGCGTATGACCTGAGGTATTGTTCACTTGCCCTCTAATGAGAGGCGACCTCTTGACATTGCGCGATCGCTGAACATTGCCCTAGGTTACAGGAAACCGCGTGCGCAAGTGAGTAGCTCGTGTAAGAAGCAATTCACTATGGACAGGGGGCAGTTCCCCACGGGCCAGGGGCAGTTCCCCACGGGCAGGCGTCAGTCCACCATGGACAGGGGGCAGTTAACAATGAACAGGGGCAGCTCACAGCAGAGGACAGGGAGCGCTTGGTAGCTAAAGCTCCTCAAAAGTCGATAGAACCGGCATTTTCGCCGTGAAATATCGCGATCGCAGGCTCGTGTGCATGGACGACGCCCAAGCCGCGTGCGATGTAGCGCGAAACCAGAAATACCGCGTGATATATCCGCAGCGTTACTTCTCACGCACTCACTCACTCACCCATCCACTCACCTACTTACTCACCCATCCACCCATCCACTCACTCACTCACTCACTAATGCACTCGACCACTCAACCATCGATACTCACTCACTCGCTCACTCATGATCAGCCAACCAGGTGAGAGAACAACTGCGTTGCCACGGTGAGCAAGCATGATCACGTGTCATCTACCCACCATGAACCTACCTCGCCGGACGCGCGCAGGCGATCGGCGTTAGAAGAACTATGCACACAACGCAGCGTCACACATACATAGCGAGAGCCTATGTTCGGATTCATGTATTATGTATGATCCTACGGATCTCTATTATGAGCTCTGGATATATATATATATATATATGCATATGAATAGATATGTAAGTATCGTACACATATTGAACGATATATTAAAACACAACATTAATATTTTATTATATATCTATACTATAAAAGGGAACAGCCCATTTTTTGTTAGCTATGTTCTCTGAATCTGCTCGCATGATTTCAAATTGCTTGACTGTAAACGATGCGTAATATGGGCGCACTTTTTCAACGATGAAAACACGATAAAGTTGAATTTCAAGCCGTTTTATTTAACACTGGTGTACCGATACCATACCGGTATATCGATCGACGACACTACCAATGTAGTACGTGTTGTAGACTGGTACCCGGTCGACAGTTCCACACGCTACACTAACACGTCAGTGTAGCGAAGGATATATGCCGGAGTGAGGGTGGCGAACGGGTACCAGTCTATACGTGTTGTTGACAGCTTGCAATGTGGAGCTATGTAGTATGTTCTCTGAATCTGCTCGCATCATTTGAAATGGCTTGACTGTAAACGATGCATTACCACTCATAGAGTAATATTGGGCGCACTTTTGCAATGATGAAAACAGAATAAAGTTGAATTTGAAGCCGTTTTATTTAACACTGGCTAAAAATAGCATACCGGTGTATCGAAGCGACTACCATTAACGATGTACGCTGTGGCGCAGTTGTAGCACGCTTGCCTCATACGTTAGGGGTCGTGAGTTCGAAACTCGACAGTCGCGGAAATAAAAAAAACATTCATTTCTCGCCAGGCGCGCAACTTCTATCTTTCATCCTAAATATATGCATATTTAAAATATATTTAATTTAAAATGATTAGTATAAATGGGGAAAGCGAATTTTTATAGCTAAGTTATTTTTAAGTTAAGGAATTCCCCTCATGGGACTCCCTGGGATATCCAAAATCCATAATGATGCTCTTCACGACAATGTTGCTCACCACATCTTCACGTTCGGTTCAGTTTGACACCGAAACTTTGTAGCTGAGTTAATACACGTTAATATACCTTTATCTCCTGCACTTAAGATAGGTTTTCCAATTCCTGCATGAA